AGCACGGCGCCCGCCCCCGCGCCTGAGCCCGCCGCCGCCGGTTTTCTCCCCGCAGGCCCCCGCCAGCGCGTCGCGATGAGGCCGGACGCCCCGCCCGCCCGCCTGCAGGGCGCCGCGGGGCCACCAGCACACGCCTGGGCTGGACCTAGGTCCCGCCTCTGGCCGGGAAGGGGGTGTCGGGCCCGGCCCTTCCGCCCCATTGGCAGCTCCCCCCTCACTTAATTTATTAAGAAAAAAAGTTTTTTTTTAAAAATAAGAGGAAAAAAGGAAAAAAAATTGGAAGCCGGGGAGGGGGCTGGCAGCCCCTCGCCCGCCAGCGCCTCCCCTCACCGACTTTGGCCTTTCTGGCAACAGACACAAGGACCAGGCTCCGGCGGCGGCGGGGGTCACATACGGGTTCCCTCACGCCTGCCGCCCGCCCGCCCGCCCGGCGCAGACGCTCGCGGCTCGTGTTTGTACATAGACGTTACGGCAGCCGAGGTTTTTAATGAGATTCTTTCTATGGGCTTTACCCCTCCCCCAGAACCTCCTTTTTTACTTCCAATGCTAGCTGTGACCCCCCTGTACATGTCTCTGTTTATTCACTTGGTTATGATTTTTGTATTTTCTGGGTTTTTTTTTTTTTTCTTTTTTTGTTTGTTCGTTCTTGGTTGTTTTTGGTTTTTCTTTTTTTGTTCGTTTTGTTTTTTAATTTATAACAGTCCCACTCACCTCTATTTATTCATTTTTGGGAAAACCCGACCTCCCGCACCCCCCAAGCCATCCCGCCAGCCCCTCCAGGGACTGCCCGCCTCCGGGCTCTCCCCGCGCCCCAGTGTGTGTCCGGGCCCGGCCCGTCCGTCTCCGCCCGTCCGCCCGCGGCTCCAGCCGGGTTCTCATGGTGCTCAAACCCGCTCCCCTCCCCGACGTCCTGCACTTTCTCGGACCAGGCCCCCACTCCCGACCCGACCCCGACCCCGCCTGAGGGTGAGCGACTCCTGTACTGTAGGGGAAGAAGTGGGAACTGAAATGGTATTTTGTAAAAAAATAATAATAATAATAAATAAATAAAAAAAATTTAAAGTTTTAAAGAAAGAACTATGAGGAAAAGGAACCCCGTCCTTCCCAGCCCCGGCCAACTTTAAAAACGTGGACCTTCCCCTCACACCCCTCCCTCCCCCACTTTTCTTTTTAAGCGTGAACCAGCCCAGGGCCAGGGCCTCACTGGGGCAGGGACACCCCGGGATGAGTTTCTCTGGGGCTTTATTTTCGTTCCGTCGGTGTTTTTTTTTCTCCCACGCTGGGGCTGCGGAGGGGTGGGGGGTTTACAGTCCCGCCCCCTCGCACTGCACTGTCTCTCTGCCCCAGGGGCAGAGGGGTCTTCCCAACCCTCCCCCTATTTTCGGTGATTTTTGTGTGAGAATATTAATATTAAAAATAAAATCCGAGAAAAACATCCGGTTTGGATACGGTGCTGGGGCTAGCGGGGCGCGCACTTGGGGGGAGGGCTGCCCGGCCGGGCCTCCCGCGCAGACCCCGGCGGGGCGAGCCCCTCCCCGAGGCGCCTGTGGAATGTCCAGCGCGCCGGTCCGCTCCTCGGTCTGGGGTGGGGGGGGTGCCCGATCCCGGAGCCGCATTCCAGGTTAAGGGGGGGGGTGGGGGTGGGGAGAGGCCGGGCGGGGGGAGGGGCAGGAAAGAGGGCTATAAGGGCCGCGGCCCAGGCGGGCGGGAGCCAGGCCGACCATGGCGGATGTCCCCGGGGCGCAGCGAGCGGCTCCGGGCGGCGGCCCGGAGCCCCGGGACCCCCTGGACTGCTGGGCCTGCGCCGTGCTGGTCACGGCCCAGAATCTGCTGGTAGCGGCCTTCAACCTCCTCCTGCTGGCGCTCGTGCTGGGGACCATCCTGCTTCCCGCTGTCACCATGCTGGGCTTCGGCTTCCTCTGCCACTCCCAGGTGAGCGTGCGCCCCGAGGTGCGCGGGTGACCGCGGGCCCCGGTGCTGGAGGCGGCGGTGGGGTCCGTGGGCCCGGGCCGCTCGGCTCGGGCCCGACGCCGGTTCTGTTCCCACAGTTCCTGCGCTCCCAGGCGCCGCCTTGCACGGCGCACCTGCGGGACCCGGGCTTCACGGCCCTGCTGGTCACCGGATTCCTGCTCCTCGTGCCGCTGCTCGTGCTCGCCCTGGCCAGCTACCGCCGCCTTTGCCTGCGCCTCCGCCTGGCCGACTGCCTCGTGCCCTACAGCCGAGCCCTTTACCGGCGCCGGCGCGCCCCGCAGCCGCGGCCAACCCGGGCCTCACCAGGGTCCCAGGCCGGCTCCACATCAGGGAAGGTCTGGGTTTGAGGACCCTCGAGTCGGGAAGTACCTTCACGACCGCACCTGCTTCCAGTCGCCCCAAGGACTTGAAGCCCGGGGGTCTCCCGACCTTCCCTGTCCCCACCCCTGCCCCAGCCGGGTCTCAGCATCCCCTTGGGGGAACCGGAGCATCTGTGGACCCAAAGCTGGCGGAAATCCGCCACGCCCCGGAAAACCCACTTTCTTACTACCTACATCTGAATCCTGGACATCTGGGCTGGACCCTGTGCACATCACCACTCCACCCCCAGCCCTCCCCGCCTCCCACCATTCGGACGAACCTCGCGTCCTCCTTTCCCAGTCAGTGCAGCTCCTCTAGTATTTACGGGCTGGGGGGGCGAGGTTCGAGGGGTAAGGAGTGACCCCACATCAATAAAGAATTGACGAACCGAATGCGTTGTTTGGGATCCTGGGAACAGTGAGATGGCACAGATTCTATCACCCCCGCGCGATGCCCAGGAGCAGGAAACATGGGGCGGGGCGGGGGGCTCAGCAGCGCATCCTTCAGCCTCCCGGCCTTCCCTTATCGCATTAGCCCGTTCTTCCTGGCCAGACCCGAGAGCTCTCTCTGTCCCTGACCCTGAAGTCACCTCTCCATCAATAGAGAGGAGAGGGCCCAGCCTCTGTCGCCTGCCCTGCTCCCCTTGGGGACCCGAGCCCGTTCTCTGACCCCAGCTTGGAGGAACTCGGTGTTGCCAGGCCGGGAAGGGAAACAATGGGCCTTCCGGAGCAGGATGACACCCCCTCCAGTCACAGTTCTGGAGCAGCAGCGTGGGAGGGAAGATGGAGGGGCCCACCCTGGGGCCTGTTAGTCCTTAGCTCATCCCCACCCCCCGAACCCCGGGGAACCTTTGGCACCCCCGGCCGCCCAGGCTGGGTGAAGGAGGGCTGAGAGCGCTCCCGACGTCCCAGCTACACTCGGACACGAGCCACTTCGTTTACAGGTTTAATGGTCTGAAAAGCCTGCGCGATCGTGGTCAGAGATAGGGAGGCCCTGCCAGGCTCTCTCTTTGCACCTCAATAGAAACGATGTGGTGGCCGGGTACCATGGCCAGGCCCAGCACACGGGGTTCTCCCGCAGAGAAGGAATCTGGAAAGAAGGGTCAGAGCATCAGGGAGGCAGGCCAGCGTCGGTCCCGCCCCTTCTAGTCCCAGAAAACTGGGGTGCAGCGGGGGGGGGGGGGTGCCTCGCGGTGAGGGCTCCGCCGCATTCCCCGGGGACTGACCCGACGGTTTGAGGAACTCCTGCGCCGAGCCCAGGATGACATTGCAGTCGCGGTCGGTGCACAAGAAGCAGCCGACCAGGGTCCGTCCATCTGTCATGCGAATGCGCATAGTCTTGTTGAGCAGCGCCTCCAGCTGCTGCCGGGCCCGCGCAGCCGGCGAGTCCTCGCGCTCCGCGTCTGAGTCCTGCGCGGGGCGGGACACGCGCTGAGACTGCACCGCCCACCCACGGAACCACAGCTCCCGACAGCCCGCGGGGCGCTCACACCAAGCCCAGAGGCTGCCGGGAGCTGCAGTTCCCCCTTCCGTCCCCCCATCTTGCTCCCCGGCTGCCCCTCAAGCCCAGCACTCGAGCCCGCGCTAACCCCGGCGCTGGAGCTGCTTTGACGCCGGCTGCAACAACCGTTCTCCTCGCGCAGCAGCATGGTTGGTCCGGCTCCGGCCATTTGCCCCCAGGCCTCCTGAGGGCCCTTCAACTTCTTAAGAACCTTTCGGGTCCGGTGGTCTGAGATCTCGCGAGTGCTCCCGACCTCTTTTCTTTCGCGAGATCACCTCTCCTCCTCTTAGTCTCCTGGGCAACTGCAGAGATCTCGCGAGCTTCTCTTCTCCGACGCTGAGGCTCGCTGAGGTCTATGGCGCCGGTTGTCTTAACATATCGCGAGAAGTTTTGCCTCTTTAGTTTTAGACCTAGCCGTTAGGGACCGTGGAATTAGCGAGAATACCTTTTTTCGTAATCGCACTCCACCCCACCCTCCCTTGCTTTTGCTGCCTCGCGAGACAGTCAGTCCTAAATATCCCTTTGTAGCCCAGACCACTCTGAAAACGGAAGGTGTTCGCTTTCGCCCGGAACCCTTAAGCACGCAGCCCGAGTCCTTGAAAGCCAGATTCGGACTACGTTTCCCGTGAGCACGCGCAGCCCACGCTCCGCCTCCTTACCCGCGCAGTGTTTGATCTCGGTGGCCGGTGGCCGGAGAGGGACAATGGTTTCCATGTCAGCAGATAAACGCGCTCGCGAGGGGGAAGAGATGCAGTGAGTGAGAGCGTGCCGAGAGCGACGAAGCAACGGGAGATGGTGGCCGATAGTGCAAGAGCCATGCCGCGCCGAGGCCTAGTGGCCGGACCAGACTTTGAGTTTTTCCTGCGTCGGTATTTCACGCCGGCCGAGGTGGCCCAACACAACCGGCCGGAAGACCTTTGGGTATCTTACCTGGGATCCGTGTACGATCTGACACCGTTGGCTCAGGAGTATAAGGGTAGGGGCCGCGCTCTGGGCCAAGGCCAGGGCGTACGTTCGGGGTGGGGGGGGGGCGGTGCCCCGTTCTTGGGTGGCTAGCATTGACTGCGGTTGCTCCTTCCCAGGAGACCTGCTGCTAAAACCCATCATAGAAGTCGCAGGCCAGGACATCAGCCACTGGTTCGATCCGAAGACCAGAGACGTGAGTTCTGCTGGAACCCAGGGTTGGGGGGGGGGGGCGGGTAGGGACACCGGAGAGCGGGGTGGGGAGGAGAAGCCGGGGCGGGCCGGGGTCGGCGATGGTGACTGCTCCGAGGCCCCTCCCCGAACCCCGCTTTAAAGATCCGCAAGCACATAGACCCGCTGACCGGCACCCTGAGATACCGCACCCCCTGGGGCCGCTTTCTGCACGTCCCGCCGCAGCTGCCCCGTTCCGACTGGGCCAATGATTTCGGGAAGCCCTGGTGGCAGGGGTCGCGTTATGAGGTGGGGCGGCTGTCCGCCAAGACCCGGAACATCCGCATCATTAACACGCTCACATCGCAGGAGCACATGCTGGAGGTGAGAACTGGTGCCTGAGGGCAGGTCGGAGGGGACCGGGGAACCCCAGCAAATCGCCAAGGAGATCTTCAGGCCCTTAGGTCTCCATGACCAGTGGGAGCAGCGTTTTCTCCCCCTCCAGGGGCAGACGGGGAGAGCAGACCACCTAGGTCTCCAGGGTGGGGAGTCGGAGGCGTGGCCCGATCACGGGGTACATAAGCCCGGGGCACAGTTCAGGCACCTCAATGACGACGGTCCTGAGAAGCTCTTACGGTGCTGTGTTTGGGATAGTGACTGTAAGCAGACTCTCTTATTAGTGTACTCGATTGTAGGGGTGAGGGGAGGCAGCAGTGGCTGTGACCCTTTAAGGCTGTTTGTTAGAAGTGGCTGCCATAAGGACCGTAACGCTTGGGGGCCATTCACTGCATGCTTCCTCTTGGGGACCGTGAAGTGCCTAAAAATAGTGCCTACCAAGGGAGGCTCTCTGATCCCAGCTCTATCATCTTTTGGGCTCCTGGCCTTTGTTTGGGGGCGTGTGCGTTCATTCCAGAATTCTGGGGGTGGGGGGTGCTTTCATGTTCTGCAGGTGGGGGCCCTGGAGTCGATGTGGGAAATCCTACACCGCTATCTCCCCTATAACGCACATGCTGCCAGCTATACGTGGAAATATGAAGGGAAGAAACTGAACATGGATTATACCCTGGAACAGAACGGGATCCGGGATGAGGACGAAGAATTTGACTATCTCAGTATGGACAGTGCACCTTATACACCCGCGATACTGCTGTACTTCAACGATGACCTCACAGAACTCTAGGAAGGGAGATATATGCTCATGTAGACTTAAGATATATTTTGAGTTTGGCTGCTTCTGTGTCCTGTAGGAAAAGAGGTGCGTGTGGCGGTGCTGGAGCCAGACCCCCTTTCCGTTCCGGCCGCTGGCCTGTGGTTCCCCATGTGTCTCTGAGGTGTACAAGTCCTGTTTCCCAGGCCCACTACACTTTGCTCTGAGAAAGTCGGAAAGCATGCGAGAAGCGCATGAATTGATTCCCAGGAACGATCCAGAAGGTGCGGGATCTCGGATTAGGGAGACGTAGAAGGGGTCAGTCAGAGCTCAGGCAGAACTGTCCGACGGTCAGAGAGAGAGAGGTCCCCCACGGAGATGAGCGACGGAAGAACCTCGCGGCAGCAATGGAGACGGGCCGGGCCGCAGGGAGACAGGACCTTCCCCAGGCGGGAGCAGGAAGCGTCGGTCACTGGCCAAACAAAACTGCCTTATTTCCCTTCTGAAGAGCAGTTGGCAGTCGCAACCCGAAGGGAAGAAAGGAAGCGAGCGGTTAGCAGGTAATTCAGGCTAGATCTTACGCTACGGGCTTCGTTTGCCCTGCTTAATACGACGACCCTGTAAGAGGGACACCATCACCGTAAGGCTTTGGAAGCTTAGAAAGACTTTCTGTCCCCGTTCGCCTTTGTTAAGCGATGGATGAACCTGGCGGCATCCGAGCTAGCGAGTGGAGGGGAGCTCCCTAGGCTCGGCAAGGTTTAGTGGCATGAAGGCACACTACTTCGTGGCTGGGGGACAAACGCGAGAGAGCATCTCACCGTCCGAGGCTTGCTGGAGGGACAGGACGCCGGAGCCCTGTTGTGTGGTTTGGTTGGTTTCTGCAGTTACAGTCTTTGGAAGGGAGTCCGCAGAGTTCTGCAGTGGCCGAGCGGAGGCAGGGGGGAGGCAGGGAGGGCTGCCAGCTGAGCAGGAGCTGTTGAGGCCGCTTCCTGGTTGATCCCACAGCCAGATTTTCTTCTTTTTTAGAGGAGAAGAGGTAGATGCGGACCGGCCGCAGGGAAAACGAGTGGAGGAAGGGCCTTTAGATGGGGGACAAAAAGCAGGCAATCGTGACGGGCCTGGGCCCCTCAGGGAAGGAAAGAATGTCTGCCTTGCAAGATGGCAAGCCTTACAACAGTAATCTAGAGACGAGCTAATGAGGTCAGGAAACTCATGTGACCAAGGGACAGCCAGCGTGGCGGGGGAGCAGTGGCCAGATGTGTCCCCTTCAACCTCAGCAGGGGCGGGGAACGAGAATGACAGACCGGTGGGCTTCCTGATGGTCGCAGGCCCAAAAGAACTGGGGAGAGGTGCGTGCACCTGCTGGCCAGGGGTGCCGGGGCCCGAGCAGGGGACCGTGAGGCGCTGGGCGGGCCGCCGAGGTGCTTTCTGAGGGGCTGGCCGGGAAAGGCATGGACGCAGGTGGAGACAGGTGCTGGCCCCGGCCCTTTCTGAGCTCCCCGTGAGACCGAGGGCTTCCGCTCAGTCCCGTGTAATGCGAGAGGGGCCGTGAAGTCTCTGGATCTTTCTGATGTTTGGTCCACTCTGCGGTTGTTTCACATGCGTCCAGTTAAACCGACGCCTCAAGAACCCGAGCCAAGCGGCTGCCCTGGGGCCTGTGCCTCCGGGAGGGGCCCACACCTGCCCCCCTTCCAGAGTCTCCTAAATGTCCCTGGAATCCACCCTCTTTCGGCTTCTGCCCCCACACACCACAGTGTGAGTGAGCTCTGGAAACCAGACCGAGGCCTCTGGCTTTCCCCCTTCAGATTCTTCAGCGGCTTCTGGTTGCTTTGGGAATAAAGCCTTTGAAGTCCAAAGATGCTGTGTAAACCGGCTTCCGCCCACCTTGCAAGTCTCACCTTTGTTCTGTGTGTTCCAGCTGCACGGCTGTCTCGCAGTCCATGAAACGTGTGCCTGCCCCAGAACCTTCACGCGTGCTGTTCCCTCTGCTTGCACACCCTTCCGTCTCTCACCTGGCTGAGTCCTCAATGGTTCTTCCTCAGGAGAGCTTCTGGGGTTTCTTGGTGTTGAAAGCAAGACTCTCTGCTAGATCATTTCTTAGCGCCACGCACATTTCAGAGTACTTCCTACAGTTTAAACTTTAAAATTATGGATGTAGCTGGCTGGCTGGCAGCTAGAGAGTAGGGACCATGTATTTCCACCCTGTTCACCGCTGTGTTCCCGGTGCTGGGCACACAGTTGCTGCTCAATAAATTTTGATGGTATGACCTCAAATGTTGAGTGAATTCATCCGTCTGGAATAACTAGTGGATGGGATGTTGTGTCCTGGGAGGCCAGTGAGGCCACCTCCAGCCACAGGCTTCTGTCCTGGCTCCCTTGGAACCAAGCCCAAGCCCTAGGGGCCTCCTTCTCACCAGATTTGGGGGGAAACCTGTCATTCCCGCGGACGGCCACCAGGTGGCCGTACTCGCCTACGGAGTCGGCGGCGGGGGCGGGGCGGCTAAGGGAGGGAAAACCCTCGCAAGTTCTAAAAAGGTTACAATGAAAGGCGGCCCCGCCGGAATTTATAGGCGGGAGGGAAGGATCAGAAAAGAAGTTAAAACCACATGGCTACTATTTTATTAGCTTTGGGTTTACTCCTGTTCTAGATTTTTTTCCACAAGCTCATGCCAGGAAAGGAGCGCAGTCTGAGAAGTAAAACCCACGGGACGGCCCAAGGTGGGGGTCTGATTACAGGGCTGGGTGTGCTCGGTAGATCGCAGAGCTGCGGAAGGGATCGACACCCCACGTTTCAGAGAGAATACAGCACACGGGTTTATTAACACGTATGGGCTTTAGCGCGGACGCGAGTAAAGTTTTTCACGAGGCACCACTTGGTTCTCGAAATACCCAAGGCTGGGTATTTGCGGGAGGAGTAT